CAGGGATCAAATACCCGAGTCTTAAAAATCACTCACCCATATGAAGATAGGCTGAGAAAGTTGGGGCTGTTCAGCCTGGAGAAGAGAAAGCTGCATGGAGACCTCAGAGCAGCCTTCCAGTATCTGAAGGGGGCCTATAGGGATGCTGGGGATGGACTCTCCATTAGGGACTGTAGTGATAGGACAAGGGGTAATGGGTTAAAACTTAAACAGGGGAACTTTAAATTGGATATAAGGAAGAAATTCTTTCCTGTAAGGGTGGTGAGGCACTGGAATAGGTTGCCCAGGGAGGTTGTGAATGCTGAATCCCTGGCAGCGTTCAAGGCCAGGTTGGACAAGGCCTTGGGTGATATGGTTTAGAGCGAGGCATTCCTGCCCATGGCAGGGGGGTTGGAACTTGGTGATCTTAAGGTCCTTTCCAACCCTAACTATTCTATGATTCTACGATTCTTCTGCCTTAGCTTGCTCCACAGTCAGAAGACATTTCACATCATCAAACTGTTCTTTGCAGAAGAGTCCAACGAAGTCCCATGAACATTTCATAAGTGCTAGAATTGCTGCCCTAGGGAGAAGAAAACTGAGGCAACTCCTCCTCCAAAGTAGAGTTAGAGCAAGGAGGAGAGAGGCATATCACCTGGTTTTTGGACTAAGACTGGCCTTGTAGTGCAGTGCAGACTGTGGAGAATAGCTGAATGGATAGCATACTACATGCCTAAAATAATAGAAAACAGGAGAGTGGCAGTTTATAAGCATAAAGAAGCCTGCAAAGAAAAAAAACCCACTATTTTTTTTCTTACAACGTCCTTGCAGTATGGGTTTTTTTCCTGCCAACAGATTCTAACACCGAACACTAAAGCCTGGGTTCTGGCCTCTTGGTAATAAGTAATTTGCAAGAGACTGGTCACAGAAAGGTCAGAAAACCATGTAAATTGCTTGGATGGGAAAGCCGCTTTCACAGGAGGAAGCTGTAGGTGGTAGGGAGGCTCCCTGCCACAATTTTGCATTCCCCGGACATAGTGATATAGAGAGACAAGAGAGCAATGCTGATCTCCCATCGGGCACCCTTCAGCTGCCCTCTGCGGAAGGGAAGGATGCCAGGCCTTCGGTAAATACTGAGGGTGGTTTCCATCCTTTATAGCAACAACGTCAACGCCACCTTTTAGCTATTAGGCAAGCAATTTTATTTTTTTTTTTTTAAATAGGGTCCAAAGGCTGAAAATGTTATAGTGGGTTTTACTATAGACCCAGTTGCACATGTTTGATTTTTACTGTGACACACCCAGAGAGGGGATGAGAAGATATACCTCCCAATACCTGACAAGGTTTCCTTCTGGGGGATTTTACCATGGTGTTTACATTTAATTTCATCATAAAGGCAGCCTTGTGATATAGGGAATACAGAAGCTAACAGAACATGCTTTGGGAGCTCTTCTTCAGTCGGAGTTACTCTCTTCCACAGGCAGAACCAAGCTGATGGATTGATCTGGAGTACCTCATTACAGAGGCCTAATTCACTGAGAAGCAGCATTCTTTCATGTTTTTCACTTCTAGTCATCCAGGACAAAGACTCACTTCCCATGGTTCACCTCTCCTGTGCTGTACTGTATGCCTCCACCATTCACTCTGCAGACCCTTGGGGAAAATGGCTGGGTCAAAATAATGGGAAACACTTCACTAAGGGACTGATATTGCCATGATTCCTGTAACTGACCACCAAGTAAGTTATGCAGCTTCCTTCCACATGTCAAACAAATATTTCATGTTGAGTATATTGCAAAATGAGCACTCAGCTTTGCCAATTCCATTGTTCAGCTGCATCTCAAATCCTGCTTGTTTGGTGTTGGATCTACCTCAATCTTATTGAAAGAGATTAAAATATTTTTATCAGTTAAGATACACATTCTGAATATACTACTGTAGATCTCAGTAAATACACAAGCCACAAAAGATTTCATTCAGCATTATACATTGTGTTACTATCCGAACATAAATGGTAGAATTAAATGTAGCTGTAGTGCAATAAACACCATCACATCTCCCTTCTAGGAATATTTTTCAACAAACCTTTGTGCTAAACTGAACATGGTTGTTTTGTGTTATTTAATTAATATCTAGGCTCAAAGATCACCCTTTGCTTTTCTTTAGTTTGAAAAAAGAAAAACCTTTTTTCTGGATTAACACAAATATTAAACGGAAAGACTGTGGAACATAAAGGGCATGGGTTGCATTTTGCACAGGATAGGTTCTGGTTGAATGAGATCTGGGATGTGTGCCAAATTAATAGAAAAAATCCTGTTCTTCCTCTCCAATAGCCACAATGCTCATTATTAAGAAAAGCATATGAACCACAGGATTTGATTTTAATAACACCAATGTCTTCATTAATCTGTTCTTTCCATTTAGCCTCATTATTGAGTAAATGCTGAGTTAATGCAGCACCTATTATTGTTGGATTTTTAATGAAAAACCTTCTTTCCCTCTTCTTTTTTTATTCATTCAAGGACTATCAGGTGTGTGTGTCATGTTTTTAAACAGGCCGTCTGTTGTCAATGGCTGTTTTCTTACCTCAGGTCTATGCAGCTACTCCAGTAATGCAGTCTACAATGCAGATAGTAACAAAAAAAACCCCCACAACTCCCCAAGAGAACAAAACCTCAATAAAAACACTCCTAACTCAAAACCATATTTATTTTGCTGTTGTTTTAAATGCTGTCATGTCAAGGAGCCTCTTACTATCACCTGCAACTGAGCTGATCTTTCCTGGATGCTCCTATGCGGCCTCCTTCTAAATCAAGATTGCTGATGGCCAACACCGCTTTGTATCACCGAACAAATAGTGGCCTTTTGTCCAGCACAAGTTCCTAAACAAACTTAATCTCTCTAACACTGTGACAGATGACATTTAGATGTCCTTGTTACCCTTAAAATGAGTTTTATTGACAATCAGAGAACAAAAAGAAGGCCCAGATAAAGCCCAATGTTTTATAGGCCTGCTAACAACATCTTAGCTCTTAGAGCAGAGGGTGTAGAGAAAGCCCAGAGTTGCCCCCATTTTCCCCTGCTTTGCTATATCACCATGACAACAGATATAGAAATCACTTAGTGACTCCTAGAAAGAAAACACAGTGACACAGTACCCCTTGTATGGCGAATCAAACTAAAGCCTTCATTCAAATGGCTATTCAGCTTGGGCATTCATGTAGAGGATGGGGTGGATTTTACACAGGTAACAACAACAGAAAGGCCAGCAAGCACTCCAGCCACAGCATATGGTAAAGTCTCTGTTTAATTAATGCATCCTCAATAGAATTTATCCATTTAAAATTTGTTTTCTTTTACTTGAAACATCATTAATGTAAAGGGCAACATTAATCAACATCTTGCAAGTTAAAAGGGCATTAAAAAGTGATCTTTCCCCCCCACGCACCAGAATCTTTTCAAGTACTTTCACTTGCTGCGACTGATTCTAGGCAGGCAGAGTCCTTAATCATAAAGCAAATCTAGAGAGGCCTCTACTGGCCAGCATCTCCATCTACAGTTTTTCCGGTTTAAGTGACTTGGGAAAGCAAGCAGTGGAATAACTACAAGCTTTTATCTTAAAGTTGCACACAGAACGGATTACTGACAAATATATGGCACAAAACATAGGATAATTGTGCTTTTTTGAAGCGATCATGTACGGTATAACTTTGCTTTTTTAAAAAAGTAAGAAGACTAGAAAGATTTATCCTGGCTGTGATGTATTTGCCTCTATGACATTTTGAGACATTTTAAGATTATAGGTCTAAAAATTAACGGGTAATCATTTTTCTTTGTGCACAGGGCTCCCTTAAAGTTGGGGCTTAAATCCATTTAAATTTGAAATTCTCGTGTGGATGTGGCATTTTATAAATGTGTTTCTCACAACTAGAGTAAAACACATCAAAGCTCAGAGAAATTAAATCACATGCACAAGAAAAGGAAGTTATTGAATGATAGAGGAACCCTGCTTCTCTGGGCTTTCCACAGTAACAACATAAAGACAAAGAACTTTAAAATCCCCCATTTAGGTAAAATTTAACATATTGGGTTATGGCCGGTATGCTTTGTGTTAGTATCAGCAATCCTAGCTGGGAAAAAACAATTTTCTGATATATCCTTTAAACAAGAATATAAGGGTGAGTTTGAAGATACTTAAAACTAAATTGACTGACTTTATTTAATTCTTGTTATTCTAGTTATCAACCACAAGCCGGGGGTATAAAAAATATCTACTAGGCAGAAAATGAGACTTGCTAGATTTTAACTTAATGCTGAGTAGATAGGAAACTTCTTAACAATAAAAGTCACGGAAAATGGGAAAAATGAAAGATCTGGTGAAACAAACCCCAAAGTTGGAGGCTGAAAGAAGTCATTAATACTAAAGTGCAAAATATTGATGGTGAATATAATTCACGAGGGAAGTAACTTACCTTGAGAGTAGTAGGCTGCTTCAAAACCTTAGACTAATTTATTAAGATTTTTTTTTTTTTCTGTGTAGAATACACACCATGGTATCTTAATACTTTTTTTTTTTTTTTTTTTTAAAGTCTGCAGTCTCTAATAAGTCCATAGGAATTCCCACATTATTTGCATTATACTTACAGTTAGAATACTTTCAACCCTTGGATGACCTAAAAGGTTTTTTTTTTTTTTTTTGTTTTTTTTTTAATAGAAAAAGATTTTTAAAATATCAAATAGCTTAAGAGACTACTATTTAGTAAAACCTTAACATTTGTACAATAAACTTTGCATTACAAATTCATCCGTCCTTCACCTTGAAGAGTATTAAAATAAGAGAGACAACATATCACAACAAATTATTCCTGACTCAGTATAATATAAAAGCACCGCAAGAATAGGAAAAAACCCATTTTAACAAGCCTGGATTAGCTTTTATTTCTTAAAGTACCCAGCTCTCAGTGCCTTTTGTAAAATTTTTATTTGCTTACATCTCCATATAAGCCACCAGCTAATTTTACCTCTGATTATCTTTCTCCAGAAGGGCGGGGGGCAGGGAAGAGATGTAATACAGGTCAATTCCTACCTCATGGTCAATGTAGCCTTTAAAAAATAAACAGCAGAGCTGAGCACACCCTTCAAGTCCCAACAGTGACACCTCCTGGGACAAGCGGGCTCCAGGCAGCTGAAGATTTTCTCTGCTTTGAAGTACAGCGAGAGCTTCACTCTGCAAAGCTGCACCAGTTGCAGTTTGAGAGTTTCTTTGAAGAAACTTTTCAGGACTGATGCACTGCGGGGAGGAAAATGAACAATCCTGCTTAATTACATCAGTTTAGTGAGGAAAGCACAGGAGCCAGTGGACATGGGGGTGGACAATATGACACACTAATACTGTCCTTTAATATTTCATTAAAAAAAAGGGGATTCAGTTTTGGAAGTGGTGTTCCAGAAATGGTTTAGGGGTATGTCCAACAACTGTGGCCACGGCGCATGGCTAACACTAGACACTATGGCTTTCTTGCTTTTAGTAGGGTTTGGTTTGTTTTTGGTTTGGTGGGATTTGTCTGTTTGTTTGGGGGTTTTGTGTGTACTACAAGCTCACCTATACAGAAAAGCTGGAAACAAAATCACAATTTCCACTGGACTCACACCATTTCATACCAGATTTTTAACTCTATGGGCCAAAGAGCTCATAATCTACAGGTCCAGTCCTGGAAACACTAGGTAATGAACACAGATTTTCAAACAGCAGGAGCCCAGTAAGGATAGGTCATCTGAATTAGATTTTATAACAAGCCACAGTGTTCTGAAAGTAAATTAATAAAAATGGATTAGAGGAAAAACATATTTGAAATATGCCTTGATTTATAATAGCTTTTACTGGTCATTCATGACGTATTTGGCTTAAAACATAAAAAAAAAAAAAAGCTGCAAGTTAAAAACAAGACCACCTCTTTGCAAGAGGAAAATTTCTTCCTTTAGATTCTTTCAGATCTAACAGTAAATAAAAATCTTGCCGATTAGTTCACAACAGCCAAGAAATCTGAAGTGGTTTTTGATATCAACCTAATAAAAATAAATTTAAAGCATCATACTTTTTTAGGAATATGGACTCTAAGCATTTCATAGAGGAATCTCTGGTATGTGGTAATTTCCTGATGGAGATAGAATTACACAGATTTGGTGACATCAAAGTGTAAAAGAGCTCACACAAATTGGTTGAGAGTGTTTTTGTTTTATTCTTTCTAGTGAGTTCATTATTTCTATTTAAAAATCCAAACAAATAGCGTATGAACAGCCAATTAATAAATGTTTTTAGTATAAAAATTTCCAGGAAATGATTCCATGGACAAAAATAATTTTAAAATGATACACAGTGTGCAAATCTAACAAGTGGTCTCACAGCTTTCTGTAACTAGCACACTAGAAAGTGCATAGAGCACTCAGAGGGAGCAGGGGGAGAACCTCCTACAGATCTGGTTTTGCAGGTGAAGCTAGAATAGAATTTCTGAGTTTTTATTGTAATCATTTGACAAATATGCAATTTAATGATTATAATGAGAAATCCAGAATTAATAAACTTGAAGTTAGAAAGCCACAAAGGAGAAGTTAATAACTACTCAAGAAATGTATTTTTTTTTTTTCAATTCAGCTGCAGATGAAATAGAACATTATGGGCAAAAAGGGAAACAGTACAAACTCATGTAGAATATTATTCCCTGATTTATTAAAAAGCCCAAGAGTCTTACTTATAAATCTCTTTTATAAATGTAATTCTTCCAATTCTTCCAGAAAATAATACATATGTAAAAGAAATATTGTATGTTGACTGCTTGGTAACATACGTATCTAACAGAAGGAATAATGTCTAAAAACATTTTAAGATAGTTGCATCAACATGTTCCAGAGGGAAGATGCAGAATGACTTAGAAAGAACTTATTTTATATACTTTTAGAAATTTTTAAAGCATGATTGAGTTACAGGTAACCTGAGGGAAAATATCTGCCGTTTCTGCCTGAAGTAAAGCACTCGTCTTTTTTTATCTCATGCTCATATTTGAGATACCACATTTACTTTCTGATGTTGTGGTGCTGTTAATATATCATAAATAGGATACAAAAAAAAATTTGTAAAAAATCCACAGATGCAGTAGGAAAGACAAAACACATGCTAAATAAAGAGGGGAAGCTAGGACTAACACTTGGGCTTGTACCTAGCTGTGCATTTTTGACTGACACTACAGCTTAGGGAAGCCAAAAATTGCAAAATGGACAAAGTTTCTCTGAGTACCTGAAGTAGTAATTCACCTAATGTCTACAACAGCCAGGAAACAGATTCCCTTTCTGCCTCAGAAGAGCCCATTTATCCATTTCACAGGGGATTTGTGCAGTATAAAGCTCCAGAAAGCCCATGGGCTGACAGAGGGAAATGGCATCCAGCAGCCCAGGGCAGCCCAGGCAGCCCATCAAGAGCAAAGCCACAAAACAGAGCCAGAGGCAGCTCCAAGGCTGCCAGCACAACTGCCTACAAAAGCTGCCAACGAGCCAGAAACTGCTTGTGGGAAAATATCACTTACCCTTAGCATCTGGGTCCTGTGATTACTGTCCAAAGAAACACAGACTGGTAAGATAACAGAGGATAAATGGCACTTCATTTGTCTGATTTCTTCCCCTTTACTCCCACAGTGTTTTTTTTTTATACCCCCCACTTGTGTATGATTTTTTTTTTATTTTGTTTTAATCTTTGTGTTATTCACTAAATAAAATAAGTCTTCCTGCTTCATCTCTAAAAATACCATTCACACACTTCCCCTGGCTCTCGATGTATGAGACATAGTGGGGCTATTTGTTACTGTTATTGACATGTTTGTGGTGAACTGCAAGTGTGTTTACAGTAGAAATGAAGTCCCTGCTCTCTTGGAGGTAATCCTGGGGTGTCTAAAAGACTCATGGGAGTCCTTGACATGGATTCTCTAAAATGAATTTCTGTTCCCATATAAATAAATTATCTCAGGGCCAAATATTTATATTTTCCTTCTATTTCAGGAAGGGAGCACATGAAAAAACTCCTAATGGTTCTAGCAATAATGCCCTGTGCAAGCTCTCTGCTACTGGGGATAAAGAAGAACAGGAGGGAAACATGGAAGAGAAGGGTTTTGCCTTTGCCACTTGCAGTGTAATAGCATGAGAAATGTTTTTTTTTTTTGTGACAAGTAAATAGGACAAAGTGAGAATTGGCTTCCTAAGGTGATGGGTGTCAAAAATGCTAGGAACCCTAAAGGCCAGAGATGCCTTATAGCCAGTGAATTGGTCCTAACTTCCCCAAATTATGCCAAAGGTTGCCCAGAAAATTTTACAGTCATTAGCTTTTGGTTGGGTATGATAGATTTACATTTTCATGTAGGATCTATTCACTGAGGGAGGAATATGGTTTCTATTAAAAATACAGTATTATCATCTACCACCACATGCTGCTTTTCTGGCAGAAATTCACTAAAAGAAGTAAACTTTAACCAGAATTGCAGTTTGTACATTTGCACCATAGTGAAAGAGACCCAGACAGTTGCTTGTTAAAACTATACAGTTATGTGTAACATATATGGGATTTTGCAACATGCCAGGTGTTAAACAAAACATGAGGTGACATCATTCCATGGGCTGTGTTATAGAAAACACAAACTCCGGGGGGTTTACAGGAAAAAAAAACACACTGCTTTTTGGTGTACTGCATCTAAGATAATGGAAGAGTACAAGTTGTTATTCTCTGTATATCTGTGTATTTTGAAATTACGCAAATCTCTGTCTCTGCACACACAAATTCAGGTTTATAAGGAGAAGACCTACAGTACATCTTTCATTAAAAATATTATTTGTAGTAAGGAAGAAGGAGCTTTGAGTAAAATAAATGAAATTTATAGGAATAACTGAGCTGCAGATATATTTAAGTGTACAAAGAGCAAAAGAAAATATCCAAGGGAGACCAACAAAACAAGAGGAAACTGTAACCTGAAGTTCCTGTACAATAAACAGAGCAATATGGATTCAGTGCCACAATCTGGGGTTTTTTTGTTTGGTTTTGTTTTTTTTTTTCTTTTTTTGTTTTTTTTTTTTGTTTTTTAATATATGCTCAGACAGAAAGGTGTTTGGTTCTAGCAACTGACTCTTTTGATTGATGGATTATTTGATTGAATGTTGCAAAGAGATTGTTATTTCTGTTCCTTTGTAAACTAATGAATTCCAAACCCCATTCAAATGCATAGTATTATTTATACCTTCATTAAACAAATGGCAAACATTATTGCTGAACAGTTCCGGCTCCTCCTTATTCATTGGATGAGCTCTATATTCAAAACCAAATGTATCTCCAGTGTGAGGCTGAGCTTTTAGAAGAAGGTACTATGCACATAATTAGTATTAGCCAGCCTTGTACTTGGAAACAAGAGAAAAAGTAGATGTGGAAATGCAGTGCTTTCAGTGATGAAAAGTACAGAAAACTAACCAAGGTACCTGTGCTCTGCTTTTAATACTGTGTGAAGATGGAAGACAGAAAACTGCATTTGGTAACTTTGAGTATGGTCAAAAGGAAACTTACCTTGGGCAACAACAAATGTACCCCAAGGCATGCTAGGCTGTTTTACATTAAGCAGAAAAGAAAGTTAATAGTTGAATAAAGACATATTACAACGTTCTAGCTGAAGCTGGACCTTATATGCAGACTTTCTATGCATCATCTTGCAATATCACGAGGCTGCTTTCAAAATAATTTAAAACAGCAAAGGAGGCTATTTGTTCCTTTTAATATGAAGTTGGTATGCATAATATTTTGCTTGCTTTTTCTGTTCATATCCAGCTTTGGGTTTTTTTTTTTTTTTTTTTTGTTATTTTAGTGTCTTGAATATTTAGTGGCATACAGATCTTGCTTACATTCAACATTTTCATATTTCATTGTAATTTAATTACTACAAAACCTTATGCACAAGCTGCATCATAATATTATTTGCTTCCACTCCACTGAAAATTATGTACATTTTCATGAACATGGGAATATTTTTAAATTTTAATACAGAATTGTTTGAGAAGGCACACAGTTTGAGCAGTTAGGCCCAATGGTCCAAATAAAACACGTCACCATTTTAGGACAAAAAGAGGCACTGTAGCTTATTTTGAAAGGATCACACTGCTACTTAATTCTTCACAATCTTATAGTTCCTACATGGTCACCAGAGAAATGTTGAAACTGTCACTAGAAAAGACAATGTCACTAGCACACAGCTATTTAAGA